ATCCATGAAGCACCCTCTATGCCTTAGCTTTCTAAGAACATGAAGGTGTAAGAATTACTTGGAAAGAGGAAAGCATTCATAAGTCAACTTCTAAATACAATTGGCTCAGAAACTGCTGTGACAGAGAAAAAAACAGATCACTCACTTATAGAAGTTAATGTTATTTCTAAGTATAAACAGATAATGAGCATATCCAACAAGGAATTAATATTATCAAGTTTTTATGACTGGAACATTCTTTAATGTTCCAAAATAATATTCCATAGATGAAAGTGTAAAACTCTGTTGACATCATAAGCATCCAGCTTCTGTTCTATGATTCTCAATAAATGCTTCTTAACCAAGTGCCACTTTTAAAAATTCTCCATACATTCTCCACACCTGCTTTTTTCACAGTTGATCAAGAAAAATTAACTGTAGCAGTTAAAAGTAATAATATATTCTCATTATAACTCTAATGCTCTAATTCAAAATGTTTTTAAATTATCTGTTCCCAACCTGGTCTCCAAAGTCCTCTGGGAATTTCCACAACACCACAGGATCTGCAAACAATTGAAATATATCATTAAAAGAACATAAGAAGACAAAGAAACAATTTTGCCAATGCTCTTAAAATTATCAATTTTTAATATAACTGTCAGATTTTTCTGTTTATCAAATTAAATATTTTGACATTTAAAGGTGTAAGTGACCTTTAAAATAGGGTCAAGTGAAATTCATAACGTGCTCAAGTTACTAAAAATGAAACTTTTCAGTAGCTCATTTTATTTGAATACCTCAGATTCTAAAATTTTAAACATTATGTTTTCAATTTAAACTACACCTATAAAACTTTTGGTTTTAACTGAAAATAAAAATATAAATATAATAAGCACACAATCAAATATAGACTCAGAGTCTAGATCAAAGCTGAATGGCCTAAATCTCCATTTTAAAATCACAATTAAGAATTTATGAAAACAATAAACATTTTTGCTATTATATCAGTTCTAAAATCTCCTATTTGGGGTCTAGAGAAATATCTTGGCAGTTAAGTGCACTGGCTGTTCTTAGAGAGGACCTAGGTTTGGCTCCCAGCACCACATGGCAGCTAACAACTATCTGCAACCCCATTTCCAGGAAATTCTACACCCTCTTCTGGCCTCTGTGAGCACTACACACATGGTACACCTACATACATGCAGGCAAAACACTCATACACATCATAAAATAAAAATAAACAAATCAAAATTTTTTTTCAATCTCATATTTAAACTCTAGAATAACTGTTTAAGTAATAAAGTAGTAGGCAGATTTAAAGCAGGTTTTATAAACAAATTTGGTTTTTAAATGATATGTCAAGAAATAAAAAAATTACTGTCTAAATATAGAATATATAAATCAACAATGTTATAAATATTCATGTGAGTTTTCACTCCATGTTTCTCATAACCCTCTTTTAAAGTGGCTTAGGATGGCATTCTCAGCCTTACTAAGCAATAGTAAATGTTTCGGTCATCTACTTCTTAACTGTCAGAAATGAACCTCCATATTTCAAATGAATTTTTAGAGCATTGTTAACAAAAGATTAATATTATTTCTGACAAAAAAAAACTGAAAGCCCATGATAAAGTAATATAGCAAGTACTTCCAGTTTGACAAGTCTAAACTTTACCCCAAGTAAAGGGACTTGATGGACCAAAGATACTAACTCTATGTGCCTAATCAGTAGAAAATTACAGACATAGAAAATAATAGCCCCAATTTTAAAGCTTTTTTTAATTTATTTATTATTTTTACTTTATGTGTATGTGTATTGCCCACATGTAGGTCAGTGCACCTGTGTTGTGCAATGTCCGCGGAGGTCAGAAGAGGCTGTCGGATCCCCTGGGTGGGTGCTGGGATTCGAACCCAGGTCTTCTGCAAGAACAACCAATGTTTTTGACCGCTGAACTATCTCTCCAGCTCCTTAAAGCATTTTTTAAAAATAAAAATTAGGGTGAAAATTTCTTAAATGTTAACCCCCAAATCCAACATATGTCTAGCAACATTTTAAGCACGATTTGGCTACTCTAGCATCTTCAAGTTTAAGTTCAACCAGACTGTTTATTTCAATATTTTAACTTAAAAAAATATGAAAGCATGCTAGTCACAAACTTTTTACTTACTAATAATAAAGAATTAAAGTTTTATACATTAATCAATATAAATAAGCTATTTTAAACATTTAGCATAAATGTCTGGAGAGATTAAGGTCTGGAGAGATGGCTCAGTGGTTAAGGGCACTGGCTGCCCTTGCAGAAGACCCAGGTTCGATTCCCAGCACTCAGATGGTGACTAACAACCATCTGTAACTCCAGTTCAGGGATCCAATGCCCTCTCCTGCCCTCTGCAGGTACTACATGATACAGGTGCACTTACATACATGCAGGCAATACACTCATATACATAAAATAAAAATAATAAATAAAATATTCACAAATAATAATAATACATTACAAATTTATGAAGGTAACATCAGATGATTAGGTCATCATCATGTAAAACAAAGTGTTTACACTTCTAAAATTAATGTGAGATGCAAAGATCAATTCAAGAGCCTCAGCAATATCTTGCAGATCCTATGGATAACCATGTTCTCAACTAGCAAAGACATGCTTAATTTTATATTGCACTTTTACCAAAATAAGGGCTGTACAGGAGAATCTTCATGAATAAATAATGCCAATAAATTAATGCTAAAGTAAATAGTCATAAAAACAAATCATTATACAAAAACATAGGCTAGTATTTCCTCACAAACCACAGAATGAGCTTCAGTGTGGATATTTAAAATATCAAATGGGGCTGGAGAGATGGCTCAGCAGATAAGAGCACTGACTGCTCTTGCAGAGGACCCGGGTTCGATTCCCAGCACCCATATGGCAGCTACCAACCATCCGTAACTCCAGTTCCAGGGAAATCTGAAGACCTCTTCTGACCTCCACAGCATTGAAATAAAATATCCTTTTTTATCAACCACAGCTTTATAGTTAGTTGCTCCTTGAGAGTATGTACAACAAGTCTTAAGTAGGACACTGACCGACTGTGCAGCTCTTACAGTGTGCTTTGATTGTCCGCAGCATTTAGCTACACATGGTTTTCTTCCTCACTCTTCACTCATGTCTTTCTCATTCATTCCTGTTCTATATACTGTTTTTCACAGAAGGAAAAAAAATGACTACATGGGAACACTGATTGGATTAATCACCTAGTGGAAAAGATCCTATTTCTTTTCATTAAACAAATTGTTATCCTTCAGCAGCACGCAAACATGTATTAGACTCATGTGCTTCCATATTTTGGGATGGATTAAGCTAGTTACTGCTTATGTGGTTATATTTAGATCACACATCATCTCAACTTTTAAGAAGTACTGCAAAAGACCAAAAAAGATCTGAAAAGAAAAAAATCCAATTTTAAAACTTCAAACAAAACCTGAATATTCTTTTCCCTGAAGATTATTTTTCAGATACTCTGTCTGATCTGGCCAAGTTAGACCAATTTTATGCTGATTTTATGGGTAAAAGGATAAGAACTGCTGGCAGGAGCCGCGGAGCCAGTGCTGACCCAGAGCACGGAGCTGACTGAGAGCTCTAAGCTGACTGGGAATAGTAAACTGACTGGGAGCACTGAGCTGGCCCAGAGCACTGAGCTGACTGGGAATACTAAGCTGACTGTGAGCACTGAGCTGACCGGGAGCACTAACTGAGCTCTTCCCTCTATGGTAGTTATTCCAAAAGACTTCCATGTCCTTACTTTAAAACAGTGCTGCTAACAGAAAAAAATCAGAACTTCACTTTCATATTAATACTCTCAATTGTTTTATTTTAATAAAAAACTATCATAGTGTAAGTGTACAAATTTTTGTTAAATCAATAAATTTTATCTGAAATTTTACATTTTCTAGACCGTAACAGGAAACAAAAAGTAAGATTTTTTACAGTTTTTTTTATAGTTTAATATAATCACATGAGTATCTGCAAGTTATTTTAATTTTTGTGTTTCCATAAATAAATTTTAATTTTGAGAGTTCAAAGATGAATTAAATACACAGTATCTTTGTAATTATGCATTTAGAAAATCATAGTTCAGAGGCTATATACTTTTGGAAAGTAGACTATAAATCTGCATTTTGCTTGCATCCAGCTTTTCTATGATCAATTCACTTACACTGTAGAACACAGATATGTATAAGGAAACAGATCAAATGGGAACCTCTTCCCCTCATCATAGCTGGCTCACAGCAGCGTGGAGCTTTCTTAGCCAAGAATTACAGAGACCTTATCTAACTATTTCTGAATAATTGATCCTTCTATGGTCTACGTAACTTAAGTTCAATCTATTTCATTCAAAACTCTAAACTCCCTGCCTCGAATTCCCCATAGTATCTGTGGCATGTTAAAGACTGTCTAGGTTTTGTGCAAAGAGCATTATTTTAAAGGTACACTACCAAACATTTAAACTCAACTTGAAGATTCATTCAAGAATTTCAAGAAATGTTGCTAAAGGAGGAAAGCCTTTTGAACATAAATGGGCAAAATCATTAAATAAAATGAGAAATTTTATTTTTCTAAAGTATATGACTTTTACTTTACTTGTGGAGACAATAATGAACTTAAAACAGGACACCTATTATCTACAAAAAAAAGAAGCATTAAACATGAAATGAAATAAAATGTAGGTTATGATACTGAAAGGATAGAAGATTCTAAGAGCACATACTAAGGAAATCTAATGTAATTTAGAGAATCACTGAAGGACTTACACAGAGTCCACAAACTGACATTATATAGACCAGTAAAAATGATGTAGGCAGAGAAGAATATTCTGGACTAGAGAAACAATACATACAAAGACCTAGAAAATATAAGAAAAAAAAGTGTACCTTTTAGAAACTAAAAAATAAAAATCCAGTGTATCCAGACTATAAAGTAGCGGGGGGGGCACTGTCAAGGGATGAGGAGAGACCACCAAAGCATAAAGAGCCAGAAAGGAGGAAGAACTCCACTGGAACCCATGCAGCAAGGAGAGCAGGTGTACCTTTAAAATGAAAAAGAAAAATTCAAGCGAATGCTGCAAGACATGCAGAAGGATGACTGAAGAATGACGACCATATTTAGAGACATTATGACAGTAAGAGCAGCTTCAGAGAAAGGGCAAGAAGAGGCAGACTTAAGGAGCTGTGAGGGGAGTCTGAAAAGGAGGTCTCCTGTACAAGGCAAATGAACTAAGTAAGGCTGTACAAGAAGGAAGACAGACAGAAAGATGCCACTGGACAGATTCCTTTTCCTTTGAGAACAGTATATAAGAACATGCTGACAGGAAATAATGCCTGGTAGAAAGGCAGCAAAGAAGGAATACAAGATCCCTAAGAAGGCAGGGAAGACTGAGAGCCTAATCAGGACAATGAGATGAGCCTTGGACAGAAGCTACACCATGATTTCCACTGCAACAGGAAGGGGGTCAGGGGCATAATTCCAGGAAAAAGTGAGGCTATGTCTTGTAAAGTGGAGGCTTATAT